AAATTTAAGAAAATTTTTCAAATTCATACCTAATACATTGATAATTGAATTGTCTATACTGTTGCGAAACATTACCAGGGCAAGTTGCGAGCAAAGCATCCTCTGAATTATTTTAAAACGTGAAAGATCATGAGTTTTCTCGTCACGTCGAAGCATCGATCACTGTACTATGGATGGGTACATGAATATCGAAAGGTATATGAATTATAACGAAGAATGAATTATGTTGCCACCATATTTTACGTACAAGAAGAACTACAAACATATTTACGTATTTATTTGTCAATTAAAAAACTCGGTTTAACTAACAAGTTTTTCAATTAAAATATTCCACTTATTGTGATTAATTAAAAAAAAAAAAAACAAAATGGTTCTAGATTCTAATTAATACACAAATCTTATATTTTATTGCTCCGAGGAATAACTAAAACAAACCACGATTATATTCCGCTTTCTACGCCAAGCATGAGATACCTGTTGCAACGTAAAACTAAGCTTTTAAGTTGATGTTTAACAGAAAAGTATTACAATGTTAAACGCTTAAGTAATAGGGGAGATCATGACGATCGATGGGTCTCAGCTGGAGAGTAGAAAGTGCATCAAAGCCTCTTCTCTTAGTGACGTATCGAGTGTTTCGTCTGGGTCTCATTGTTGCCACGAGCTATCTTGGCTATTTATAACATCAATTATAATTCTTTGCTGACCATTTTCATTTTTTCCAAGTGTGTATGATTTACGGACGGAAAGCTGCCAATTTAACTCTTCCCTCGGAGAAATTCTTCGAAGCTTCTTGTTAGCGAAACAGCGATATTAAATAAATAACGATCTTTACACAGATTGCAAACTACCTTTCAAATGTTTCACTTTCAACGTACCAAAAATACGTAAATTCTATCGATTAATTATCCATCCGAATGTGCAAATTTTGTTTGCTTCCAAAAAATCACGGCGTTCTAGGAAACACCTTTAATTCCTAGTAATTTGCACAACTATACAATCGTATCACGTCATTATATACCGAAAACACTTGTAACTCCCGTGAAATCAGGCTAGAAGCCCATTTCGAAATCACGAGAAGCCAGAATCGATTATTCATCGGCGTGAAAAGTCCCGAAACGTTCGTCAGGTTCGATGATGTCAACGTAACACTTTCAACGCGTCCGATGGTTCCTCTCGGTTGCATAACTCGGTGCTAAGATGTTTGCACAATCAAACACGCCGGAGGCTGAAAAGAGGAAGAGGAAAGAAGAGAATCTCCTCGATTTCCAGAGACACACAGAAAACACTGTAACGTGTGTGTTTACAGAGACGTCAGACGGTAGTCCTTGCAGACGCACGTTCGATAACCCTAAGAGGTACCGTTGGCTAAACCGGAAGTGGAGAACACGGGTATACAGTGTCAGTGCCACGAAATTGCTCGAGACCTTCGCCACGGAACGAGAGCCGGCTGGTATGTGAGAATTGCGTTCCTTCTTCTTTGTCAGCGGTTGGAGAACAGCAATGGGAATGGCACCCTCGCAAACGAATTCGCGAAAGTTCCTACTTTTATTCACATGCTACCATCGAGATGACGGACGGGAGAGCGAGATCTTCAAGGCTCTTGTGGCCTGGTTTATTATGCCTGGCATTATCTCTGCCTCTTGCCTTCTGGGTATGTGTACAGTATAGTGATTTCGTGGACAGAGTTTTTTTTTTTTTTTTAATGAATTGTAATAAGAATTTCAGTTTATTGTTCTCTTTTTTCTATTTGAAAAAAATGCGTTGTATTTTCTATTCTGATTAGAAGAAACTGGTGTTAGGATAGTGAAACTGATTCAGACTGATTAGGATCGAGTACCATGCAGATAAGATAATACAAAATTAATTATAGGTTGACTACAAAACTGTTTCTTCAGTGTCCCTTTTTTTAAAAATTTTAGTCAAGATTAAACGTGTGCATTAAATTTTTGCATTGTTCAAAAATATGTTTTGACTGCAAGAAATTAGTGTTAGGATAAGTGAACTGATTCAGACTGATTAGGATTGAATGCTATATAGATAAGATTATACAAAATAAATTGTAGGTTGGCTACAAAACTGTTTTTCCAGTGTCCTTGTTCCAAAATTTTCGTCAAGATTAAACGTGTATATTAAATTTTTGCATTGTTTAAAAATATGTTTTCACTATGAGAAATTAGCGAAGTGAAATGTAGGACTGATTAATAGATTCGTTAAGATTGAATGTTACACGGATGAGAATAAAAAGTATTTTACTTACATTGAAGGGTTCTGTCGAATGTACTTAAGACACTCATCTGTATTTACAGATGTCAGAAATTTTTCAAAAGAACCAGACATTTTTCACATACGAGTTACAAATCCTCGGTTTCTTCCTTGGAAACTGGTTAAACGAAATTACTTGCTGAAACAACGAACATCGTGAGCAAACACGACTAACAGTGTACACATTAGACAAAAACCTTCAATATTTAAAAGAAACTATATTACAAAAATATTTTTCATTCTTATCTGTGTGATAACTAATTCATCGAACGATCTCCTACTGAAGAAATACGAATACTTGTTGAAAATATATGAACTCTACTCTAACCAACCAGACTTAACACATTTATCATCGCGAAGCAACTTTTTCTTCGTATCTCTAAAGTCGAATGAAATTCATTTTAAACGCAGTCCCATTTTTCACTCCTCTGCCATTCCCGTTAAAAGGTTAAGTATGATAAAGATATAAAAAAAAAAGAGTATCATCTGACATTTAGATTTCTCTCGGTGGTCCTCATTGAATATCTACATTTCCATAACGTTTCTCCTCGAACAACAGCAATCACAGGCCACGCGTTAACCCTTTGATCCCCAAATTGTTTTTTAAATTTTCTTTTCAATAACTCGCTATTATTTTAAGAATTTTAGTTGAAATGCACTTCAAAAGACATTTCGTTGAACAAATTTAAACAATTCTTTTTACCATATTGGGTCATATTATTGCTCATCCAGGTAAAAAAATATTGCAAAATACAATACACATTTAAACTGGCAATTTAGAAATTACTTCGTTCATACCTGTGAATAAAACTGATGTCGACTCGACAAAGGGGGTCCAAAGGGTTAATTCCTACAAATTATGCGAATTTCCAACACCTTAGTTCCTCTTTCCAGAGGATCGTTTAGCGGGAAGATAGCCGAAGTGTGTCGATTTTCCTTAAAATCCCCGGTCGCACCTCTAGGTTCCAAGGTTCTCGTAAAAGTCAAGGCCAGCCGGTCGTAAACCACCAAGCATCATTTTATACGGCGTACATTATGCGTATGTATGTACGTAGAGGTAGTGTATACGTACATATATAGTACGCGGAGTTGAAGAGAAAGCGAACAAGGAGCAACCAGTTTATGAAAATTACCGCGGCCATTCGATGTTCGCCTTTCACGGGCAAACACGTACCCGAACTTGAAAACCTTTAATCGTCATTAGACGAAGAAGGCGCGACAGTGAAACCGCGCTTCCTTTATGGACGCCTCTTACACGCAATTAGATGGTATTTATGATTACACCTAGCGGTACCTATCGCTTCGTTTTTCAACTACCGCGCGGCCATTGTTTGTAAATCTAATCGGCCGTCGTGTTGTTACGTTGTTACAGCCTCGAAAGTGGAATTTTCGTTCTCGCATTTTATTATGTAACGTTGCCAACGTGGAAATGTGTTTTTGTATAAAGGGTAGGCTATGTGAAACTGGCTACCTACCTGTAATTGTCTCCTCTGTGTAATTTAAATGGTTTCGAAGGGAGAACAAGGTGAGAGAAACATTTTTTTTTTTTATGGAAGAAATGTCAAAGAACGAATGGAAGTTTCATTCAAAATTTTAGAGTATAAGGTCATTGTTACAGTAGAAAAAAATATACGCATTCGTGTACCAAAAAATTTTCCATATCAATTAAAAATTTTGCATTTTATCTCCTACGAACGTTCAGCGAATCTTTAACAGGTAATATACGCACACGAATTGCGAAACCAAAGGAATTCGTCGTA